CCTATAATTATTTCAATTGCTTAAAAGATTTCATTGAGTGAATACGTCATTTACACCAAATTTTAGCATCATTCTGGACACCTTCGTCACATTTACATCAAATTTACAACCTTTCTTCGATCAGTGTACTCGCCGTGTAGTGACGACTGCTATACGTTTCGCCAAAGGTTTTGCACAGCAATTGACAGATAATTTTCCTGATGCTGACCAGAATGGAATTGAGTCTGACAAAGTTCAAGGCCGAATGTGCCACACCTAAACAGACTCAATGGGAATCCTTACATTAAACACATATCGAAATCCAAGGTCAGCAACATATATCATTTTTCGCACTGTAGCCCTCTTGTATCTAGCTTTCTCTATCTTTTTGCAACTGTTTTTTCGATGAAATATTCAATTGAGCAAACAGGAACGCGTGCCAATCAGCTTGAGTGCGCAATTCTGGGATACTGGACTGGGATAAGACAATAGAAATGTATGCGTGCAAAATATGATTTGAATTTACGACTATTTAAGCGCACTTTCCAGGGTCGTCATCTGATATGCAATCCAGGTCATCGAGAGGAAGCACCTATACTTGGAACATTTCCTCAGTACAAATCCAGTTTGTCTGGTTTGTGGGCGGATATCTGATAATCAATCAAAAACTCAACACGTGACGATTTCGATACGGTTACGTTACGTGGATCATCGAGAGGAAGCACCTAGACTTGTTTTCCTGATTGATGAAAAAATCTCAGTACAAACCCAGTTTGTGTTACAAGGACGACCAAGCGGTTAAAACGCCGGTCCATCACCGCTATGCTCCGTGTTCGATTCCTGGTCCGGGTCCGATCCGTATGTGATGTTGAGGTTGTGAGACTGCTTCTCTTCCTTGCTTCTAGAGTTTTTCTCCGGATACGCTGGTTTCCTCCTCAGTTTAGCTAACTCAACTTGATTTTGATCAATGAATAATCAATAATTCAAAATGTGACGGTTTTGAGACGGTTACCACGTCTGACTACATCAAAGTTGAAGGGCAGTCTCTCTTCCTTGCCAATTACACCATTATTATGCTGAAACAAACGCATAATGGGTGTCACAGACCAGTTACAAACCCTTGTGAACGAAACAACTGTATGACAATTAAAGTTCATCCCTAAACTGGCGCTCATTACCGTTTTTTAAGGTTAAATTTATTGTTTACAATACGTCTTCTCACAGTACTTGGTTGGAAGGTTGAAGGTTGAAGTGTTTTTCATTGTAGTTATTTAACTTGGAAGCAAGATGATGCTGAGATTAAAAACTTGCCCCAGAAGAAAACAAACTCAACAGGCAACGACACGAAAAATTCTCGTGTTGAAATCGTGCTTCATTCTTCATCTCGCTGAGTATTTGACAGATAAAAATACTTCCTCAAAAAGTATCGAATTTTCATTGGTTAAACTGGATTGTCCACGTCTGATGGATTCATGATTGGATGATATTTTTANCGTGACCTTTCCAATGTAAAGTTTCCGATATGCAAGCGAGCACGTCTATATCCGCGTCTTCTGGCTCTTCTGATACTTTCGTTTATACTGTGAAAATAGCTTTGATGAATGTTTGTTCCTAGTCTGGATGGACAGGAGGCTCACTCGTTAGTACTTGAAGTGATTGCATTGCTCGTAAACAAGTATGGTCACGGCCGAACATTTGCCCTCATTAAGTACCTCTCGTAAAGTTGTTTACTAGACATAAGTTAACTACCATGGCCAGTTAGTTGAATATAAAAATTAGTTAACAGCTAATAGTGGAGCTCCAATGACAATATAGAAGAGAATGAACTATGAAATTATTGACTAGTATAGATTTTGTTCAGTTTTGCGAACTGGTGTTTAAACTGCAAACTTCTCGTCAAAAATATATACAAGCAATTAGACGCGGCAAAAGATCCGACGTCTAAACCGGCCCTACTCGAACTTCACATCACAGCAAACTCAGTTTACAAGAATATCTTAGGTTATTTTTTACCTTGATTCTTAGAAATCCAATAAATGTTGCCCTCTGAAATACCGGAAATGCTTTAGATAGTCGTTTTTATCGCCGGTACAACTGAATCCAACGGTGAGGCATCCAAGATCATCAATATCAGAATACTTATTTAAAAAAAGTTTCATCAATATTTCAAAGTATCACCAATCAAGACTGTGATTTTGTCGATTTTTGTTTTAAATCTCTCTCCATATCGAGTGCTGTCATCTTAGTTTTCACAAAGAAAAATATTCACACAGATCGTTGCTTTTTCTCTTATTTTGGCACTATTTCCAATACATCATCATCTTCTTCTTGCCATCCAAATCTTCTTATTCCTGAAAGTGAGTCTCAAAACACTGATTTGAAAAATATAAAATTGTTTTCGCCTTCGCAAAATATCCCACACCAGAGTCTAGTTTTACTGTAAATGAAATTATGTTTTTTCTTAAACTTTCAGGCACAATCGTACTTCGTAGTTTGAAAACAAAACTTTTTGCCGTTTACTGATCTTCTGGATTGAAATTGATTGCTTTATAAATCGCATTCTGCTGAAGACCCTTTTTTTGCAAATTTACAAGCCAAGTAACAAGTTACATGAAAAAGCTTTGAAAGTACATGAACTTTGAAATTTGAAATTTTTTTGGAAATTTTTTGGTGTACAAGATATCATAACTTGTTCGATTCTGGATGTGTTTGATTTTTTCCCCTTTTTGGTTTGTTTGCCAAACTCCTGAGACTGAAAAATCTTAAATTTGGAAATAGTATCGAACTGTTAAGGCAAGTTGGTTTTGTACGATCACAATTATGATGCTCGCGCTCATCAGCAAGTAACAATGAATGACTTTTAATTACAGTCCTATTGCATCTTTCAGTTTTTCCAGTTGTTTTCTGTCCAGAAATGGACTTTCAGAGGTCATGTACAAATGTTTAGAAACTTTTAGCTGAGACAATAATCACAATTTTGGGTGATGTTAGTATAGAGTTTACATCATGATTTTTCAGTTTAGATTAAATGTTATATTACATCTTTGACACGAAACACAACAGGCTTTATTGTTGCTCATTTTCTTTAGTAAAATATATTGTGTTCCTCCCTATAAATGCTTGTCCATACCATTTCAACCCTCCCGCCAAACACACATCAAAAACACGTGTCCCTCCCTCAATAGCAACATTTTCCTTCTAATGCAGGGGACAGAATGCTAAATGGTGATCTTGCTCGTGCAGCTGTTAAAGGCAACGAATTTATTCGTTCAAAGCTCGCTGTCAAAAATGGGGTGACAATTGGCTATGTCCGTGCTGCAGCTTTTAGCACTCTTCGTTTGGGGGGCTTCACAATTGATATGCTCTCTAGTCTCGGTATGGCAGACCTCGCTAAATACATACAGAAAAAAGGTCTTAACAACGTCACAACTGGACGGGTTGCTTACTATGTACGCGGAGTCCAAGCTATCTGTAAGGATCCGAAGTCTTTCCATGGTTATGATTTAATAGAGAGTCTAATTGAGGGGATTAAAAAGTACCCTGTGGTCGGGTTTAACCACCCATTCCCGTACAGTCTTGGTGTTTTGTCATTATGTGACAGTGGCCATGCCTCGCATTTGTATCATAATTACACTCT